TAATTCTTTGTTGCTCACATTTCTTTATAGTNTGGCTTACTTCACTCTGTATGATAGGCTCCAGTTTCATCCATCTCATTAGAACTGATTCAAATGAATTCTTTTTAATGGCTGAGTAATATTCCAATGTGTATATGTACTATAGCTTCCTTATCCATTCGTCTGCTGATGGGCATCTACATTGCTTCCATGTCCTGGCAATTATAAACAGTGCTGCGATGAACACTGGGGTGCACGTGACACTTTCAGATCTAGTTTCCTCGGTGTGTATGCCCAGGAGTGGTATTGCTGTGGCATTTGTTTTTGAGAGTTGCCTTAGGGCATAACCAATCCCAAATTACCTTAAATTAAATTTTTGACAGGAGCTTTTCCAGATAGCACAGGTACTGTGAATGAATGAAAAAGAAGTATAGGGATAACTTATGACACAAATTTCCAGAGAAAGAATTTTCCTTCAATCAGGGTCAAACTTGAGATAGGTATGTGTTCTGCTGTTCTATTTTTGTGACTTCAAAAATAAATGTCTTTTATTTTAGAATAGTTTTAGATTTACATGAAAATTGTGAAGATTATATGGAGAGTTCCCGTATACCCCACACACATTAGCCCTTACTATTGACATATTAGTATGGTCCATATGTTACAGTTAGTAAACAAATGCTGAGATATTATTGTTAGCTACAGTTTGTTCTTTACTCAGATGTCCTTAGTTTTCACCTAACATCTTTTTTCTTCCTGTTGCAACATCTCATCCAGGATAACACATTACCTTTAGTTATCATGTCTCCTTAGGCATCTCTTGGCTATGACACTTTCTAAGAATTTCCTTGTTTTTGATGATCTAGATAGTTTTGAGAAGTGCTGGTCAGGTATTTTGTAGAATATCCTTCAGCTGGAATTTGCCTTGTGTTTTTCTCATGCCTTAGGCTGAGTTCATGGGTTTGAGGGAAGAAGATCACAGAAGTAAAGTGCCGTCTTCATCACGTGGTGTCAGGGTACATACTATCAGCACGGCTTATGGCTGTGGAAGTTGCTTTTGGTCATTTGGTTGAGACAGTGTTTGGCGGGTTTCCCCTGGAAAGCTCCTCTTCCCTCCTTTCCCATTCTGTTCTCCTCACGTGGAAGTTATGATGTACAGTCCACACTTAAGGAGCAAGGGACTTTGCTCCAGAACCCTCCTTAAGGGCAGAGTAGCTATACAAGTTATTTGAAATTCTTCTACATGGAAGGTTTGAATCTCATCTTGCCCACTTATGTATATCAGTATGGACTCATGGATATTTATTTTATGCTTTGAATTATAATCCAAAGCTATTTTACTTATTTATTTTGTTTCTCAAATTGAGAATTCTTTCAGTTAACTTCTGTGTCCCTTTGACATACCCTCATCATTGTGGGCTTTAGTCAACTTTGTTTTGGAGCATTTCATTACTTTCTGGCATTATGAGATGTCCCAGCTCATCTGTATCTATAAATATCTATAAGTATCTATAAATATTTCTATATGTAACCATTTGTTTCTTTATTAGGCTAAACATGAGTTCCCATTGTAATCACCAGCTCTGATCTATTACTTAGGTGGATCATTCTGACCTGCTCCCCTTGCTTATGTGTAAACATCTACTCCAACAGGGAAAAAACTGGCTGCCACTATCCAACTTATATTTACTTAATTATCCAACTGCATTAGTATATAGGTATGACAGTGTTAAAAGTGTTGGCTTGTACCCTCTGAAAAGCAACTTTATCAATTACTGTACAGTGCTTATGACAGTTAACTTTGTGTACTTTACTTATGACATTTAATTTTAACCTTTGTCTTTACAGATTCTATTCACATTCAAAGATAGAGCGGTGCCTTTTCCTCATATCTCTTCATACATTTGTAATACTGTTATGTGCTTTTGTCACATTCTGCATTCCATCCTGGGACCCTTTTAAATTTTTTAAAAATGTATATGCATTAAGGTTCACTCTCTGTCTCTCCTTTACTTCTATTGTGAGAGTAGCTTTTGGGGATCCCAGTTTAATGCAGAGGTCTTCTAGTGGAATCCTTATCTTGACTGGTCCTGGGCTTTGTATCCCCTTGTTCTTCTGCCCATAGCTGTTCTACTGGAAGAAGAAACACTCAGGGCAAAGCTGCTTTTAGCATTCACTCCCTTGTTAGAGGTCTTGCTTTTGCTTGGGTTTATAAATCTACTCATTCTATTCTGTCTTTCCAATTCAACAATATATTTGTATTTTATGTGATATTTTGTTTTGATAAGGAGTATTGTTCAGTATACCTAATCAAACATGCTGCCTGAAATGAAAGTCATTTTTACATTATTTTAATTTTTTTCATATCCTATTATATATAAATGTTGTTTAAGTTTCTTCAGCTCTTTATTTTTAGAAAAAGGAAAGGTAAAAATTATGGATGGATTAAATAAATAATGCTTCAGTATCAGCCCACATCTGCTATAAAGAGTGTTGTGAGTGAGAAATTAAAAAATATAATAACCATTTATAAAGTAAGAGAATATGTCTTTAAAATATATTTAGAATACAGGATTTTGTATTAGGAAATTAAATTGTTTTGATTTTGATTTTATTTAATTTTGTTGAAATGACTTCTATGAATTGGGAATGACTTTCTGTGTATTTCTGAGTGTCATGTTTCCTAGTTATCCTATAAGCAGTGGTTAATGGGCAGCTGGCTGAATTAAACTGAGTTAACACGAAGAAACAAATTTTAGTGAATAAACATTCTGTCATTACCATGAGAGACTGCAGCACCTGTTTTAGAGAGATACCAGTGTTTTATCCATTTTAGTGTCACCCTTCCATGAGCATGTGAAACAACACGCAGGTTGGAGAAAAACGACTCCCAGTGCCCTCATTCCTTAGGCTTGTGTTGAAAGACTACTCATCATATTGCCACCATTATGCCTCTTTTTGCTCCTGGTATAAAGCATGTTAGCTCTGCCACTGTTGCCACCGAATATGAGTTGTTATGCCTATAATAAAGTGCTATTCCAGGAGGCATCTGAGTTCAGCATTGAGGGAGCATGAGTTTGCCACATTCAATAGGAAACAAGAAAACTAAAACATTTTTTCTTTTCTTTTTCCTGACAAAAATGATGAAACCTCTTAGATATGTCTCAGGAAAGGCAGCAGGGAAATGTGTACCGTGAAACCTAATTCCCAGTGCCCTCACGTACAGAGCCACTTACCCCCACCTGCTTGCATCCTGCAGTGCTTGATTCTACAGAAGGCTTGTTAGAAAACCACTTTTGGCAACTTGGGGAGTGACCATCTCTAAGAAATACATTTGTGTCATTCTGATGGAACATTTTGGGATGTTATCTGAAAAATATACTCACCTTCTCGTGTGCTTACTCACTCCATCATGTCCAACTCTTTCTGGCCCTTTGGACTGTAGCCCGCCAGTTTCCTCTGTCCACGGATTCTTCAGGCAAGAAAGTCCCAACCTGGTATGGGTTGCCATTTCCCTCTCCAAGCTCAACATGCAGAAACCCAAATTATCTCTGAAAGTTTGTGAACTGCTTAGCAAAGAAGCCATCAATCCCATTATCTTGGTGTTGTGTTGAAATTCATTACGCAGTTCTTTATTTCTGAACTGACTGGGAGAATTTTCTCAGCCTGCCGTAAATCCTTAGATGGTAGAGACTGATGATCTTTGTGAGAAGAAGCACATTTTCTTTTTTTCTCTTTCATCATTATAAACGTTCCAATTGTATTTCTCACTTTAACGGGGTCTAAGTCACTTACCCATTAATGGCTGAATTAGTTTGTTAACAATGAAGGAAAAAATTCATTGTTCTTAAAAGAGAGTTTTTCCCTTTAGGAGGGGAAAAATATAATTTCAGTGTTCATCATTTAAGTTTGTGGAATTCTTTTCTTGAACCCTTCTTTTTCTTTGGACATACAATATGAGAATACAAATATACAAATGATTTTATATCTGAGCAATTCAGCTGAGTGTTTAGAAAGAAGACGGGCTTTGAATTCAGACAGACAAGAGTTTGAATCCCAACTCCATCATTTAGTAGCTGTATGACCATAGCTGATGTATTTAATCTCATTTAATGTTAGTTTCCCCATTTCTGCAGTGGGAAATAACAATAGTTACAAGGCCGTCACTCAGTAGGTACCCAAAAATATTGGAATCAGCATCATTATATTGTTGTTTCTATTATAATAACATTATTATTGTTATATAACTATTCTGCTATGTTTTAAATATTCAGAGAGGAAAAGTATACTTTTAGAGGCAAATTAGCTTGAACAGGTTAAGATAAAGAGCTTAGAGAACACTTGAATGATAATTAAATATTTATAAAGGTAAAGGGAACAATAAATTAATTGGTTGCTCAGGTAATATTTTCCCAATTAAAAGTCAGTCCCATGGGGTTAAAAAAAGACTGTGTCAGAGTTTCATTTACTGTTCCATCAACCATCCATTTAAAAACAGCATATCTGTGTAATGTAAACTGTATGCTAGGCATTGTGGAAGATGACAGATCACGGGATAGTAGCATGCAAAGAAAAATTCATCTGAAATAAGAAACATGCTTTCTCCAAATAATAAATATACAGAAAGATGCTCATCCTTGCCAAAAAAGAATACAAGTTAATAAAACTATCCAAAAGACTGAGAAAAATTAGAAAGACTAATAACATTTAGAATTGGCAAAGATAAAGAGAATTCTCATACACTGTTTGGGTATAAATTATTGCAATTATTTGGGGAGCCAATTTGACAAAATCTACCTAAATTTAAAATGTGCAAGCCTGAAGTTCTGATTTTTAGTATTTATCCTACAAAAATAATATCATGAGGACATAAAGATATACATACAAAGAGGTTTTGTTGTAGCATTGTTTATAATAGCAAAAAAGGTAGGGGGGAGCAACAGAATAGCTTATGCCTGTATTAGGTATATGTTGCCATGTAACAAATTACCCCCCAAATTATTAGCTGAAGACAACAAATATCTATTATCTCACATTTCTTTATGGGTCATGAAATTGGTTTTTGGCTTAGTTGGGTGGTTTTGGCTCAGGGTTTCTCATGAAATTACAGTCAAGATGTTGACCAGGACTGGACTCCTCTGCTTCCAAGATGATTCACTTATGTCTATTGGCAGAGAATCTCAGTCAGTCTCTACACGGACTACATGACCTTTCCTGGGGGCTGCTTGAGCAGCCTTGTGACATGGCAGCTGGCTTCGCTCAGGGAAGATGGTCTAAAAGAGAGCAAGAAGGAAGCTGTTGTGCCTTTTATGAATTAGTGTTGGAGATCACACATCATCGCTTCTATATCATTCTATTCATTAGCACCAAGTCAGCAAATCCAGTCTAAGCTCAAGGGAAAGTGAATTAGGCTTGTTTGTGAATTTTTGGAGGGAAGGGTGTTGGGTGATTTTTAGACCTATTTAACTTGTTTTCTGACAACAGATTAAAAATACTTTCACATCGAAAATATGCTCATTCTCTTCCAACACTCCCCCACCAACTCCGTTTCAGCCATTTATAGCATCAGCTTAAAGTCCAGAAACATATCAACTTAATTAGATCCAGGTGAGGCTTCAGCTTCTCAGGTGTCATTCCTTAAGTATAAACTTTTTGGCCAACCACACACACACACACACACACACACGTGTATATGGGACAGGCACAGGATAACCACTCTAGACATTCTTGTTCAAAAAGAGGAAAAATGGAATGCCCAAAGTAGTCACTGTTCTATAGGAATTCTGAATCCACTCAGCTACATGTTAGGTTTCTTGATTCAAACATATTCCTGCTCGTGCCTGGGAATGATTTTCCATCACTCTTGGCTTCAACCCACCTCTGGGTTCTTGGTCTCCTTTTCTGATTCATTCTTCTTTTTTCTTTTCTGATTCATTCTTTCTTTCTCTGCAAAGTGAACCTAATTTAGAGCTGTGTAGTTTTCCCAGTAAAATTTAGGAGTTCCAAATGCCTGTTTTCATTGTGTACTATCTATTTCCTTCAGTTGATATTATTTCTGTAATTATAATTACCTTCAGAAACTTTGTGGGCCTTCTATGAATCTTATCAGGGTTCACTTCATTAGGGAAATGCCATACCCACAGATTTCTTCAAGGTAAATTCTTCTCTACCTCGAGCTTCTGCTGAACGATGGGACAGTATCCTAAGTTTCTTTAAAGTTCTGTTGTTTGAGCATTTCTCTGAGGCCCCATCTTAGCTCTTTCTGAGGACATACGGTATTTTACAGCTATACTTAGCCTTATCTCTAGACCTGGCTTTCTTGCCAGTGGCCTGGAATTGATCTTTGCTGCAAATCTGTTTCTTAATTTTAGTTTTATGTGCCATCTGAAAAAATTGGGAATTTTTAAAACCACCCAGTTCTGGCTTCTTCATATTTAACTGTCCTTCCTTTGGTTTATCTCTTTCCTCTCATTTCCCCCCCCCCTGTTTTTCTTAATTTATTGAAGTACTACTGACTTACATTTGTTTTAGGTGTACAACATAGCGATAATACTGATTCAATATTTTTATAGATTATAAAACCATACAAATTTGTTATAAAATATTGGCTATATTCACTGTTCTCTTTACAACATCCTATAACTTATTTATTTTATAGTTGGCAGTTTGTTCCTCTTAATCCCATTGACCTTTTTTGTCCCGCTCCCACCCATGTTCCCTTGGCAATCACGTTTCTTCTCTGTGTCTGTGAGCCTGCTCTGTTTTGTTATATTTCTTTGCTTCTTTTACTAGATCCCACATGTTAGTGAAAACACTCAGCACACGCTGGTTCCCTTTTCTCCATGTCCGCAACCAAGACTAGCTGTTGTCTTTCACAGTAGCCATCCTGGTAGGTTTTAGGTGAGTGATCCTTGTGGTTTTCATTTGCATTTGTTTGATTATTAGGGATATTGATATTTAATATTTATTCATGTGTTGGCCTTCTGTATGTCTGCTTTGGAAAAATGTCTATTCAGGTCTTCCCATTTCAAAATCAGGTTACTTGTTTTCTTGATACTGAGTTGTGTGAGTTCTTTATATATTTTGGGTATTAACTTCTTACTGGACATGTTATTTGCAAATATCTTTTCCCATTCATTAGGTTGCCTTTTTTGTTGTTGTTGATGGTTTCTTTTATTTATTTATTTTTTCTGTGCAAAGCTTTTTGGTTTGACTAGATCCTATTTGTTTTTTTTTAATTGGAAGATAATTGCTTTATAATATTGTGCTGATTCCTGCCATACGTCAACGTGAGTCAGCCACAGGAACACATATGTCCCCTGCCTCCTGAGCCTCCCTCTTATGTCCCGCCCCATCCCACCTCTCACACGTTGTTACCATCAGCAAGAGGAAACCAGGTGGCACCGTCAGCAGCTGGACCACCTGGCCCATCGGGTACATTCTCTACTTGCCACATCGCCACAGGGGCAGCACCACTAAGCTCCCTGCCACCGTGTATTCAGGACCTCCTTTTGTCCAGTTTCCCTAAAGTTTTCCCTCTCTCTTCTTTAAGATCTCACCACAGCCTCCCTATCACAATCAAGCTTCTAGTAACACTTTCTGACACTCTTCCTCAAAGCCCCTATAGCCTTTACCCACTGCCCAGTGTCAAAATCATTTCCACATTTGTAGGTACTTATTATGGTAGCACCCTACTTCCAGGTATCAGAATCAGTATCAGTTGTTTACTGCTATGTAACAAATTACTCCCTAACATAAGCAGCTTATCACAACCATTTATTACATCACAGTTGCTGCAGGTCAAGAATCAGGCAGCAACTTATTGGGTGGCTTTGGCTCAGGGTCTCTCCTGAGACTGGGTTTCCCAGGTGGCTCAGTGGTAGAGAATCATCCTGCCAATGCGGGAGACACAGGAGACACGAGTTCGATCCCTGGGCCAAGAAGATCCCCCGAAGGAGGAAATGGTAACTCCAATATTCTTGCCTGAATAATCCCATGGACAGAGGAGCCTGGCTGGCTATAGTCCATAGGGTCACAAAGAGTCAGACACAACTGAAGATACCTAGGACACACACACACAGCAATGATATGTATGACATGATTATTTGCAGAGAAGTAAAACTAATCTTGCCTATGTATGTATAAACATAAAGATTTCTGGAATCCTACAGATCAAAATGTTGATAATACATACAGAGGGTATAGTAGGTGGTTTGAAATGAGCCTAGTAGACTGAAGGGGAGTGAGTTTTACATACTACATTGAAAAAGAGGTACAATTACAAGTGATCAGCCAAAGAAGAAAATGAGAAAAATAAACTATTTCCACTTGGGAGATACCTAATGAAATGCTATATTCTACTCAATTATCCTTCAGTGAAGCCCAATCGTTAATAAACTGACTCTTTCTCTCACCATTTTAAGGCCTGTCTCTTAAATATGAGCAAAACAAAAATGACAAGAGATTGGGGAAAAAACTTTTAACATCAAAGAGACTAAAACAAATAGAAAAGGGTAGCACAGATGAAACAAACAAAAACAAAAACACTACAATTATATTCAGGGATGAATACATCCTTGCATTACATCTATGACATATGAACATAAACATTATAAAAAGAACATTTAGAAAACAAGATAGACCTCTTAGAAATTTTAAAATATGATACAAGAAATTACAATTTCAAAGAAGACATACAGATGGCTAACAAACACATGAAAAGATGCTCAACACCACTCATTATCAGAAATGCAAATCAAAACCACAATGAGGTACCATCTCACACCAGTCAGAATGGCTGCTATCAAAAAGTCTATAAACAATAAATGCTGGAGAGTGTATGGAGAAAAGGGAACCTTCTTACACTGTTGGTGGGAATGCAAATTAGTACAGCCACTATGGAAAACAGTGTGGAGATTTCTTAAAAAGCTGGAAATAGAACTGCCATATGACCCAGCAATCCCACTTCTGGGCATACACACCAAGGAAACCAGANACACGTACCCCAATGTTCATCACAGCACTGTTTATAATAGCCAGGACATGGAAGCAACCTAGATGCCCATTGGCAGATGAATGGATAAGAAAGCTGCAGTACATATACACAATGGAATATTGCTCAGCTATTAAAAAGAACACATTTGAGTCAGTTCTAATGAGGTAGATGAAACTGGAGCCTATTATACCAAGTGAAGTAAGCCAGAAAGAAAAACACCAGTACTGTATATTAACACACACATATGGAATTTAAAAAGATGGTAATGATGACCCTATATGCAAGATGGCAAAAGAGACACAGGTATAAAGAACAGACCTTTGGACTCTGGGAGAAGGCGAGGATGGGGTGATCTGAGAGAACAGCACTGAAGCATGTATATTGCCATATGTGAAATAGATCGCCAGGCCAGGCTCGATGCATGAGACCGGGCGCTCACTGCCAGTGCAATGGGACAACCCAGAGAGATGGATGGGGAGGGAGGTGGGAGGGGTTTCAGGATGGGCGGCCACATGTACACCTGTGGCTGATTCATGTCACTGTGTGCCAAAAACCACCACAGTATTATAAAATAATTAGCCTCCAATTAAAAGTTAAAAATTAATTAATTTTAAAAAAGGAAATTACCATTTTAGAATAAAGTTTAAAATGCCTTCATGGTAGGTATATGGAAAGGTGGGGCTTCCTAGGTGGCTCAGTGGTAAAGAACTGCCCACTAATGCAGGAGACACAAGAGACAGAGGTTTGATCCCTGGGTCAGGAAGATTCCCTGGGGGAGGGCATGGCAACTCACTCCAGTATTCTTTCCAAAAGAATCCCAGGGACAGAGGAGCCCGCAGGGCTATAGTGCATAGGATAACAAACTGTCAGATATGACTGAAGTGACTTAGCATGCATGCATACATATAGAAAGATACCAAATGAAAAAGCTTAACTATTAATTCCAGGGAAAACATAACAATATATAAGGAAAAATATAACAACATATTTGGCTAAGATAAAAATAATGTCCACTTAGACAAATCAGTATTTGCAAGCCCAAATACTGATCTATTTTAAAATATGATACAGCTAAAGTTATGGGTAGATGAAGAAGGAGTTTGAGTGGTGTCCATGGGAATTATGATGTATCTTCAACAGGTGGGGAAAGCCTAGAAATTATCTAAAAAAACAAAATGAATAAATAGTAGAATAAACTTGTGCATTGGAAAGCTGTTATAGGGGCTGCCTTGGTGGTTCAGTGGTTAAGAAACTGCCGGTCAGTGCCGAGGACACAGGTTTGATCCCAACTGCGGTAAGATTCCACATGTTAAGGGGAAATGAAACTCATGCGCCTAGAGCCTGTGCTCTGCAAAGAGAGAAGCCAGTGCAGTGAGAAGCCCCCACTGACCATGTGTAGAGAAAGCCCGTGTGCAGCAACAGAGATCCATCAAAGTCAAAAAATAAATCTAAAAAAAATCTTTCCCCACTTAGTCTTCCAAAAAAGCAAGCAAGCAAGCAAGCTGTGGTTGACACTCGCCATTTCTGTTCATGCTGTGCAGATCCTTTGAACAGCATATCCTTGTATTTGGGGGATTTACCTCCATATGAACTCTGCATCCCCAAAATAAACCCTCAAAGTTTCCCCCAGTGTCCTTTGCAGATAGCACAGACACGTGACCTGGGCTCCGCCAGCCGACTCACTCACATCAGATTTTGACTTAGAAGTGAGTGACTTGAGGAAGCTGGTCCCACACAGGAAGGGTTGGCTGGTGAGGGCTGCGGCGGAGTCAGGCAGCTTGGGAGGGTGGCCCCAAGACTGAGTTCCTGGGTGGAATTGGCATCTGTGGAGCGTGTGGTGGGGGAAAGTGTTTCTTTCTTCAGGGCAGGCTGCTGTGTGGTTTAAGCATTGTTCCTGAAAGCTTAGCATCCCCATGAGCTAAATAACATCTGGAGTCAGTCTGCGGCTTGCAATTACATAACCACACTCAGAACTACAGAATATTTTATTTTATTTTTTTTAAGAACTACAGAGGCTAAAGAACAGCTAAAGAACCTCAAATGGTTCCCTTTGGGAGTGAAAATCAAGCATGGCCAGTGGTTGATCAGGAAACTGCTGCTTTTCATTAAAAGATTTTGTCTTTCTCTTGGGCTTTTTAACCATGACTATTTGACTTTCTAGCTATATAGCTACGTAAGCTTGATAAAAATTAAAACTGAAACAAAAGAAAGCAGAGAGACAATAAAGAACTATCTTTTGGAGAGTATAAAGGCACTGCACCACAGAGTGTTTCCTCTCCTTTTTCTGTCTGCAGGAGACATCACTAACTAATAAGAGCTCTCATTCCCCCTAGAGCCCGGAAACAGACTCATAGTCCTTCCCAATATCTATTTCCATGTATATTGGAGTTAGGTCTTCAGTTGAAAACTCTTTTCCATTCTTGGCCTAAGAGGAAATGCTCAATCTGGTATAGGCCTAAACTTGCATTCTGAACTTGAGTGAAAGTAAAACCCAGAATACGTTTTATGGTATACAGATTTAGAACTTATATCCTGGTATACCTAAGTTTGACAAATACCTTAATTAAAGAATACAAGTCAGCACTATAGAACTCTATTATTCCAGTGAAATTGCTACAGTTGATAGAAGTCATTTAGATTTCTGAACATTAACATGAAGATATACTTTGAAGTTTTATAGCACTATGATTAATAGAATTGTATTACCTGAGAGTTTTCAAAGGAGCTTAATCGCTTCACTAGCTGCATTGGCATAGCATTTTATAAGAAAACCATGTCGTTTTGAGCCAACATGTAGTTAATTCACATTTGGAGATGAAGCTACCATGACAACATGACAATTTAATGAGCTTTGAGCACCTTCAGAAAAGGAATTATTAAAAGGAAGAGAACAGAAATGCTTTGTGATAGAAAAAGAGAACACTGGAATTAGCTGGACAGTTTGTAACCTTCATTTGCAAGGACTTATTGTCCCTCTTTTATCATGGTTTTCTTTCTTCCTTTCTTTCATTCCTATGACTACAGAGGTAGGATTCTTTGCTCTATAATGAAAATGAGTTTCAGTACAAGATTCAAGAAACATACTTAAATCCATCAAGCACAGCATCTGTTAAAATCTCCTGGCATTAAAGAAAATGTTTAACTGGATTTATTTCCAACCTTTTCAGGCAATGCAGAACAACTTAGAACTAATTAGAGATCTAATAACCCTCCCTGCTGTTTCTATAGTTTGTACTACTGCTTTATGTAGAGAGAAGTATATGAAACAAAAAATCACTTCCGGAACAGCTTTAGGTGGACAGCTCTCCAATCCCTTCCTACTGGCAACCGCCTATTTGTTTTTTGTATATGTAGGTCATTTCTGTTGTGTTTGCTCATTTGTTTTGCATTTTAGATTCCACATACAGGTGAAATTATAAAATATTTGTCTTTATCTGACTCACTATACTTTGCATAATACCTCTAATTGCCTCTATGTTGTCACAAATGGCAAAATTTTGTTCTTTCCTTCCTGCTGAGAAGTAGTCCATTGTATATGTATGTGTGTGTATAAGGTTTTCTTTGTCTGTTCATCTCTCCATGGGCATTTCAGTTGCTTCCATATCTTGGCTCTTGTAAATAATGCTGCAGTGAATACTGTCATTTAGTCACTGAGTCATGTCCGACACTTTTGTGAAACCATGGACTGCTGCCCACCAGACTCTTCTGTCCATG